TCTGATCTCTTGACTGCTGCTTCTGTGAATGTTGATAGTTGATCCAAGAAGAGTGAAGTCCTTGACAAGTTCAGTCTTTTCTCCATTGATAAGAATGTTGTTTATTGGTCCAGTGGTGAAGATTTTTGTTTCCTTTACATTTAGATGTAATCCATACCAAAGGCTGTGCTCTTTGATCTTCATCAGCAAATGTTTTAAGTCCTCTTCACTTTTAGCGAGCAAGGTTGTATCATCTGCATATAGCAGGTTGTTGATGAGTCTGCTTCCAATCTTCATGCCACATTTTTCTTAATAGAACCCAGCTTCTCAGCATACAGGTTGAATAAGTTATGGTGAAAGAATAGAACCTTGTCACACACCTTTCCCAGTTTTAAAACATTCAGTGTTCCCTTACTCTGTTCGAACAACTGCTTCTTGGTCCACGTACAGATTCCTCAGAAATACAATTGCGTGTCCTGGAATACTTATACTTCGCAATGTTGTCCATAGCTTGTCATGATCCACACAATCCAAAGCCTTTGCGTAGTCAATAAAGCATAGTTAAACATCTTTCTGATATTCTCTGCTTTCAGCCAAGATCCATCAGACACCAGCAAACAGTGGGTGGCCAATAAACAGATACTAAAAGAGATAAAATAAAATCAGAACAAAGCAAAACTGACAAAACATATTGTCCACCTTTGCTCCAAGGTTCCCACAGCCCTTTTCCATGGCGTGTCTGCTCCCCCGCTTTGTCCTGCCACTTGGTGTCGCCCAAATTGTGGGCTCTGGGCCACTGAGCCCGGCAGATTAAAATGTATGTGATTTCTTACTTCTGCTTCAAGTTCCACTAGCTTTAAACCTTCAAACTTTTAAAATATCCTTAGTTATATGGTTCCAAGTTTTGGAGCTCTGCCCTGAATCTGCTTTGCCTGGTATTCTGTGGTATTGCTGATGGCGAACCTCACTGCACCTCCACCCTAGCCGCCATTTAAGTCCCGCCTTATATAGATTCATACTTTAGATTCATACATTCCATGCTCCAGTTATTAATGGATGTTTAAAGCTGTTTTTCTTTATTTTGTGCAGTGCCCCATCAGCAAATAGAGGTCCTGAATGCTTTACTCCATTCTCATTATCATGTTATCATGGTCAACTCTTCTTTGAGGAGGCAGCTGCATTTTGAGTGCCTTCCAACTTTAGGGATTCATCTTCTGGCACGGTATCTGATAATATTCTGGTGCTCTTCATCATCTTTCAATATTCAAAACTGTGGTGCTGTCAATGTTCCACTGTTATTCATAACATTTTCAGTGACTAGAAAATTTGGAAATAGTGTGTTTCTGATTCTGTCTTCATCTAGAAGCTCATCTGAAACCTGCCCACCATGGGTGACCCTGCTGGTTTTTAAAATACCCATGAGATAACTTCCAGCATCACAGCCAACACTTATGCCACCATAGTATGATAAAGTGACAGATGAGTTGTAGTGGAGAGGCTAGATAATATAAAATTACTAGCCTTTCTGTTAATTTGCATTAGAAATATGGCAAATTTTTGCATAGGATTTGATGGAGTTTATCCTCAGTGCATCCAGTGGCCACATTTGAGATTAATTGTTCAGTTAAAATACTATCTATAATATTTTTACTGCTTTTATTGAAAGTATTTTGAAATCATTTATGAACTGTTATAAGATAATTACATTAATATTTCAGAATAAGTATTTATGAACTGTGGTACAATTTTCTCTAACTTAGGAGCATGCATTCACCTTCGGGACACTGAGCTCGCTTTAGCTATTGAATCCTGCTTAAAAGGACTTCTACAAGCCTACTGTTGCCATAATCATGCAGATGAAAGAGTACTTCAGGCACTGATGAAGCGGTTTTATACACCAGGGACCTCAAGACCACAAATAATAGTTTCTGAGTTTCGGAGTGAGATGCATGATGTAAGACACAGGTAAGGCATCAGAAACTAAATACTGTTTCTGATTTTGCTTAATCACATGGAAGATCAACTAGAACCAGAACATTTGTAATGATAATCAGAATCATACTATTGGTTTAATAAGATTTTATCAGTTCACTTATTTAATTTCCATGTAAGGCACTAGTTTAAGACATTAGAGATGCATAGATAAGATATAATCCCTGGCTTTGAGGTGTTTGCAGCCTGATGTAAGAGACAACACATGTATGCAGATATAATTTGACACAAATAGCAGTGATGAGGGAAATGATGTCCATTTATCCAAATTTAGATGGAAGTCCTAAGGAAGGACTTTGATACTCATTCCCTGTCTATAGTTAATTTTGCAAGATGTTTCACAGAAACCCTAAAGAGCTGAACTTATTTTCTTTGGTGAGTCTAACCAACTTCAAGGGTACATTGTCCCAACTTGTAGAGGTATTACTTGCTAGTTCTTAAGACCCCACTTGGAACTAACCAAAGTAGGATGTAAAACATTGTCTCTTTTTACTGTTATTCCAGTTGACCTTAGTGTCCCTTGAGACCATGGGCCTGAGCCCTTAGGCCCACTGGTTGATTCATTCCCTCAAGGAGTTTGGTTGTATTTTAAAAGTTTTCAGGACTTTGCCCACAGTATGCTCTACCACATTCACAAACATATTTGCAGCATAGGTAAATATGTATATAAAAGAAATATCCTCTGTCAAACCTATATTTAGTCTTGGGGATAGTCCGTCTTCCCCTTCCCATGCATCCACTCATAGATTATTGCATACCTATCCATGCATCCACTTGTAGATCTCTGTTATTGCGGAATTTGCACATTATGCTTTCAATTACTTCCCAGAGTCATCGTCTTATTATCTATAAATTCACCTATTCAAAATATACATGTATATGTGTGTATAAAATTGATGTTTGATAAGTTAACCCCATGTGTTTTTATCTCCTAGAGCTGCATATCACCCAGAGTTTCCAACAGTTCTGACCGCATTAGAAATAGATAATGCAGTTGTTGCCAACAGTCTAATTGACATGAGGAGTATAGAGACAGTGCTGCTAATCAAAGTAAGATCAGATGCTAACTATACTTTATATTACTGTTATATTTTCAAAAATGAAGATGGTTATATAAATTTTTACTCCTCTTTTTTTATCATAGAGTTATTTCTAGGTGCCATCATGGAATTTTTTCTTCGTAGGAAAATCTGTAGAATAATTTTTATAGAGGTGGTTGGTTTGTGATTCTTTTGCCCTACAGAACTTTAGAACTTCATAAAGTAAATATATAAATAGGTAGAATTCTATTCATGTATAATTCTATGAAAATATTTTTTTATTCTTTTTTGATTA